AGTGAAGCTAATGTGATGATTATTTTGGGGTTTTGAGGTGGTTGGTCGTGAAGCCGGGAAAATCCTTGGGCTTTAATGATTACAATAGGGTTGGAGAGTGGGGAAGATGGCTTGAAAATGATGGGAGTAGGTCGCTTAGGTTTGTGTGGAGATTTTTGGTAGCAAAGGTGTGGGATTTTACTGAGGGAATTGATAGCTTAGTTCTCATAGAGGCCTCTGGGGTTTGAAACTCTTGTGGTTGTGAGAGGTCGTGAGAGCTCTGACATTGCATGGAGATCAACGGAGCTTGGGAAGATCTAATTCAATGGCTTGGAAAGAGGAAAAGAAGCTTTCTCCACTTTTGATGTGATGAGCATGGAAGCTCGTCAATGTCCATGGAGGATGCATCAGGAGGGCTCTAGATGATTTTGTAGAGCTTAGGTAAGGTGTCTTGACTAGTTTTAGTCTAAATTTGGTCTCTCATGAGCTGATTTGCGTTGGTTTGACTTGAGTGCCAAGTGTTTTTCATTTGGATTTTAGTGTCATAGATTTTGTCTTTATCGGTTGTCTTATGTTTAATTAAATTCTAATTTTATTATTGGGTTTTTGTGTCATTAGACTGGTTTTAGATGTTATGTGTTATAGTTTAGTCCCTAGTCTAAATTTGGTCTCTCATGAGCTGATTTGCGTTGGTTTGACTTGAGTGCCAAGTGTTTTTCATTTGGATTTTAGTGTCATAGATTTTGTCTTTATCGGTTGTCTTATGTTTAATTAAATTCTAATTTTATTATTGGGTTTTTGTGTCATTAGACTGGTTTTAGATGTTATAGTTTAGTCATAGGTCATAGATCATGGATCCTAGGCTTTTGATTTTGGGCTTAGCCTTTGGGCTAACTAAAGTTTAGATGAGGATTGAATCCGGCTTATTTAATTGATTAATTATTTTAATTCCTTGGCTCAACTTGACCAATTTCAATTGGCTTAGTTATTTATTTTCTCATTTGATTTGACTCAATTTTGGTCTATTTTGGTGGGTTTAGATGTTAGGGTTTTTGTTTGATGTTTGGCTTTCAAGATTTGAAATTTTAATTAGGGTTAATATTTAGACTTGAAAATATTACTTTTTTTAAAAGGGTTATAAAACTTCTTAGGTCAATTTCAATTGTTTCAATTACCTAAGAGATTTATTGTCTTTTTTTGATTGATTTTATTTAGGTTTTAATTGGTGGATTGGATTATATAGCATTTTCTTACTTAACATTTAAAATTAGGGTTTGATATTATAGTTATTGCTTAAATTTTGACTTAATGTGTTTAATGAACTTTTTTTTTTGTATTGAATTTTCATAGTGATTTAGATAGTCCTAACTTTAAGTTATTTTGATAATTTGTTGGCATTTTATCATGTTTTCATTTTTATTTTAGCGCTTAAGACTTTCTTTAATTTTTTATTGATTTTGATTCCCTTTTACTTCAATTTGAATCATTTTTAAAGTTTTAAAGTCTTAAATTTTCCCATTAGAAGCTGAACAATTTGGTCTATGGTTAGTCTCATATCCAGTGGGCTTCTTTTAGATCAAATAGAAAACCCCTGAACATAGGTGTGCTCATTAAGTTACCAAAAGGAAACTTAAGTTCCTAAGGTCAAAGGTTTGTCTAAGTTATTTTCCACATTATGGAAACTCAACTTGTGCTTAAATGACTAAACGCTAATCCTATCAGCTAAAAGTTGGGGATTTAGGGTATTGCATTTGAACCCTAAGGAGTGATGATTTGTTTTAAAGTTCTAAATTTGTGTTGTTCCTCTAGGAAATCCTTAAGGCTAGATCCTAGGTACCTAGATAAATAATAGTTCTCATTCAAAAATGAGGTCAACATAAAAAACTAAAATAAATCATTTCTTCTTTTAGAACAAGGAAAAACCTTCTTTCGTTGCCCTAAAGAGTAGTGAAACTATCTCTTAGAAATTGTATCCATCATAGAGTAGTATTTCCATCACTCAGAGTGATACATTATATCTTTATGTCAAATTCGATCACAAGTGAGAAATTTATTAAATATTGTGTGTGATTCTCATAGTGAAGAGAATGAATTGCGATTTTTGTAATATATAGTCGAGTGAAAATGAGAGGAGATAAAAATGAATTTTATATGTTTTTTTTTTCTAAATCAAACTAATAATATGATTCTAATTTTGTCAACATAGATAGAGTGAATAACTCTGACAACTTCTTATCGGTCACATGGGTATATCTTATTGAGATACTATCAAGTTATATGTGTATGAGATTTTATGGTTTGATTTGGTATTGAAATTCATAGTTTTGCATAAAGATTGTAGACTTACATCCAAATTATGAAAATAAGGAGACTTCAAGTATAAGATTACTTTTCAATATTATATTTCATCAATAGATAGATGGCCAATTAGGGATCCAAATTTTGAAAGATCTACTCCATTTATATATGTTGGACTTTAGTGGATGATGTGAGTCACATTTATCTCTAATAAAATTTATTTATAATAATAGTTTTTAAGCAAGCATTAAAAGAACTTCATATGAAGCACTTTATGGAAGAACGTGCAGGACAATATTTTGTTGGGTTAATGTGGAAGATTAGAACTATTGGACTACTTTTACATATGAAGGTACTATGAATATTAGGTTGATCAAAGATAAACTAAAGGTTGGGTAAGATAAATAACAAAAAATATTATGAAGATAAATACAAACTAATATAATTTAAAATTAGAGATTTTATTTTTATCAAAAATTAGTTCATTAAAGGGTGTGTAATGCATTGTAAAGATAGAAAATGAAGTCCAAGATATGTGGATCCATATGAGATTATTGATTAAATTCAAAATATAGCTTACAGATCGGCTATACCAACTCACGTGCAGAGAGTAAATAAAATTATCATACTTCTTCATTTAAAAAAATATATTGTTGATAAATCAAATAAAATTAACATAGGCTCAGCTTAAGTACATCTTAATTTGACATGTTAAAAAATCCTAAGAAAATAGTAGATTATGATTTTAAGAAACTTCAATATATAATAGGTATTGCTTATAACAACAATAAGTTAGCATAATTCATCCAATCTCCATAACATAGAGCTTCCATTTTTAATAGCCTATATTCTTTAATTTCATAGCATACTCTAATTTTGATAAATTTGGCAACCAAACTAACTACACCTTTGTATTAACATTTTTCATTATCCTTGGATCAAACCACAAATCTTAGTGCTTCAAGATAGAAGAATTTTTGCTCACTCTAATGCATCATTTGTCACCATCAAAACCTATAAGATCAACCACCTCTTTCTCTCTCCCCCCCCTCTCTCTCTAAATAACCCTTCCTAAATCTGCTTTTCTTATATATGATAATTTATGAAAAAGTGATGTATATGCTAGCACATTTTTCACTA